GAGTAAAAGATAAGGAGCGAAGGATTGGTATGAAGCGGCTGCAGTGCTGAATGGATATATGAGTACATACATGCAGCCGTACCTACCGTAGCGGTTATTTGCAATATGCCTACGGGAAACTCGTCCGAAATTGCTTTTCAAGAACGAAGGCTTTTCTTCGCAGTTTTCGACCGTTTCACTTCGTTTTTTCGCCATTTTCCCACTAGATAGCGCCCTGCTAGCATTTTAGGCTGAGTACCAAATTATCGTGCCAACTGCCTTTAAAGGCACTGCAGTAGTGATTGCCACCCAACAGTCATTCATAGTTCTGATATTAACTAGGAAACTGACCTTCATCCTCTCCGACCACTCGTCTTGGTTTCAATGAAATCATCGCACGCACAATATCCTGTGTTGTCTTTGCAGTGCCAAGTCCTGTCCGTGGTCTTCGCGCTCATCCGATGAATCCGAAGGACGCTGAAGAGAAAGCAGTTGTACATCTGATTTGGCGGAGGCCGCGGCGACCGAATGGTAAACTTCTCAAATATGTGGTACGTTCCGAAAGCATATTATTCACTTGCTTTACTCACTTTTAAAATCACTTACGTTAACTATCTTTTTCCACTGTTCCCTTCAGGTTGAATATTGTCGCACGGAGAACGGCCGAGTTGTTGAAAAAGACTGTCCCAGGCTTGATGTGGATGCTGATCGAACGCAGGTGTGGCCTTTTCCGCCTGATGCTATCTCCTTTTGCTGACACAAAACAGATGTTTTTGGAATCTTACCAATGTTCAGATTCGCTTATCGGGCTTGGAATACGAAACACCGTATCGGTTCATCGTCCGAGCTCAAACTAGCGCCGGAGAAGGCGATCCGAACAGTAGCGATGCTTCTACCCTTCCTGAGACAGTCGCCGCCGATTGTGAGTAAACCAGCCTGGACATTATTACTAGTTTTTCTGAAATGAGCAACTTTAAGAATCTCTAGGGCCCACTACAGGCGACCTTATCCCCTTTCACTCGTGAAGCATCAATTTGAAGCTTTTTCGGTCCTTTTAACTACATTGGGCTCTTAAACAATGGAACCCAAATTTAAAAGTAAGTGGAAAAGCGTGATAGGAGAGATAACTAAGCATCAGTACCTACCACTGCAGGCAGAGGCTGCCTAGGGAAAAGTTCCCTTTTTCGGAAGAAGTTCAGCCGGAAGTCTTTTCTACATAAATAACTAACTTTTGAAATGTCCATTCAACTCGAAGGTATCGCCTCTTTCTTTCTGTAGGCTCTGTTGGTTACTAGACTACTTGACCTCTTCTGCATGGTCCTCTTGGGAAACCTTGTACGCGGACAGATAGAGGACAGTGCTACAAATCATTGAAGTATGCCAAAAAACATGTGATGAACTAGAAGGGGCAGCTCCCTCAAGTGGAGGGGACAATGAGTTGCATGAGTCCCGGCGCTGTTTATCGACGGGGGGGGGCATTTTGTATTATAATTGCTTCCCTGTTTCCGGTTCACAAATCTCACTCTGGTAAAACTTGTGAACACTTGTGAAGCTGCAGCAAGATCGTCTAGCCACCATCCTAAAACGTGTCAACTCGAAAAAAGGCGTACCTAGAATGCGAGTTGGAAATCTATGAAAAGGAGAATACCCCCCCCCCTCACCCTCCGTCGATAAACAGCATCTGAGTCCCCTCTCATGGTCAAAAAGCTATAGAGTGTGAACTCACAGTGGTCGCAGAACGCGCTAGAAGGAGTTCAGAGAAAAACGCGGGTAAAAATTGCACGGCGATCAAATGCGTCAGTTCCGTAGTTTAAGAATAGTTTCGCTATGATCCTATTCACTTTGTACCGGCCTGCGACAGGATGCCCAGCATCGTGGTGTGAGGTGGTGTGTAAGTGTACGACTCCCCCTCCTCACTTCCAGAGGTGTCAGTGCCGCTCACCCCCCTTTGGAGGGTCTTGGGTCCACGGGTAATGACATCCCCCCTTTTCCTAAACACCTATCCTCACCCAATTTTCCCCCATTTTCCATTTTATCTTGTCACCTAAAAATTTTTGTAACTGAGTTGACGCGGGCCAGCCATGGGTGGCTGTATAGACCGGTCTGATGAAATGAAACGAGAGAATCTCACTCCCACTTCCCCTACCACTTTTCTGATTCGGCCGAAATTCTTCCTTACGTTTACCTAAAATTTATGCTGTTGAGCGGCCTGGCTGTATAGCTTATGCGCATCGACATGTATAGTGCACGAAGTTGCAGCTCGTGCAGGAAAGCACCCCAACGCGACAAATGTCTCTCAGAGGCAACTCATTTTCAACTCACTCTCACTTCTCTCTTCCAACGACCAAATACGACCCCCTCCGCCCTCTCCAGAGAAAAAGGACGACCCCCCCCCCTCCCTGTGTTTCGCACAACGATGCTTTACCCTGTGTGAGGAGCGAAAGGGCCATGCAACCGAACCGGAGGGCCACATCCTCGCTTCTGGTTCGTAATTATTCTTTTGTTTTACCAGACAGAAACCATTGGGGAATGGGTGCGTGAAAGGTCGCTGGACGAAAAAAAAAAAATTAGGGCCGATGGATGAAATGAAATGAACGCGACATTAGAAGAGGGACGATCCGGCAGCTGTGTGGCACTCATGACACAGAATGTAGTGTTGGAATCGCGTCGTTTAAAGCGAGCTTGGTCATTTTGCTGTAAGCGCTATCAGTGATGTTGAAATTTCGCATTCGTCATTATGGGAAAATTGCAATCGCAAGAGAATGTGCACACTAGTTGTTGTGGAAATCGTTCATCAACGCTCTCATCCGTTCACACAAACAGTTGGCCTCCTGGTCGGCTAAACCAAAAATCTGCGAAAATTTTTCCTTCTCGAAATATCCAAGCTGCCCAATGTAACTTTCCGAACCATTCCACTGGGATTATTTGCTTAGTTATTTTGTCAGACTCGTGGTAATTTTGTCAGACTCGTGGTACGCCTATATTAATGCAGTGATAATAAAAAAAGATCAGTCTCCGCCGTTAATCAACACCTTTTTGCAATGCGGCAGCATCGTTTGCTCATCAGCGGCACCATCGTTAGTGGAGGATTCCCCAACAGTCGAGAGGTCGTATGTTCGCGTCGTGTTGGGAGGGAGCGCGGGGTGGGCGTTCTACTTTACTTTCTGTTTACTTTTCCAGTCGACCAGCAAAATTTTTGGGTTTTCTGGAAGAGCGTGCTCGTTGACCTTTTTCGTTGATTTTTCCATGTTTCATCGGTGTACTATATATACCTCCACTTCCCCCCCCCCCCTCTTCTCGACAGCAAAATTTTTGGGTTAAAGTAGGGAAATTTTCAGGAAATTTTGGAAAAGTGGCAGGAAGTTGGGGAAAACTGATAACTGGCGGAAGGGGGAGGTCGTATTTTTCTCGCGGCTTTTCCCTTTTCATATGTGCTATTTGCCCCCCCCCCCCCTCGCCCGCGCTCGAGAGCTCGATGAGGAGGGGAGGGGTTGTACCAACCACCAAAAAAAAGGGGGGGGGGGGTCGTACGGACTCAATCAAAATCCCCACCCAGTGATGTGCCCTGCTTATTCAGACTTCCATTCGCACTGACTTACTAAATGCATTAAGGCCTCTCATTGATCTATGGGATCAGTCTATGTACAGTTAGAAGAAAGAAATGGTTTGGTAGAAACACACTGAAACAGTTATGGTCCGTTTTGCCCCTTCCTCAGATGAACTGTCGCTATTTCGTCCACACCGGGACTCATCACTGAGTTAGGGTTGACGAAACAAGGATAACGCGGGAAAGAACTTGACGAACAGGAAAAAATCACTGCTCTAATCCACCCAGACAGATTTGGTACCAATCAAGGAGAAGAAGGCTTAATTGGCCCAGGCAGTAGCCAACTTGATCCCGGACTATGCACGTGGTGAGCGTGCCACTTGCTACTGCACTTTCTCCGAGGGATGTGGAGATAGAGTTTGAATTTGCTCAAGCCTTTTCTACAAATAACAGGTTCCTTGTCAGTTGGGAAGTTAGCTAGCCAAGGACTGCGTTTAGTTTTATTTACTTTGTATATCTGAGCGCATTATCGAGGGGGACCTGAACAAGGTGTCTTGCACCAGAATATTGCTAGGAAATATTTTGGAAAGCTCACCTAATCGGCGCTGATTGTGAAGAGGAAGGAGCACTAGAAGGATTCCTTGAGCAAGGCTGGTGCTACGTCATAGAATAAGATTACTATTTTCAAAACCTAAAAAATGATGAACTCCGGGTAAAAAAAAGGGTTTGACGCTGCATAGCCTCTTCGAATCACTGGAACCCTTGAGCTAATTCGTGCGAAATTTCGGAGCCTTTTCCGTTGTTACGCATTCAAAACAAACATGAGCATTTGGAGCTTGCGGCCAAAGCCAAGCTAGCCTTTTCGTTGAGCGGTCGTGATAAGGATTGTTAGTATAGTTTTTAGTAGTCTTTCTCGTTTCCTCCAAGCCATCTCGAATCGATTCATAGTGAAAAGGCTCTTTTCAAAAGTGCATCATTCGCAGCGTGCACGCAAGCTGCTGATATGCATCTTCATTAGATTTGATTTCTAATGGACTCTCTTACATTATGGGACTATCAGAAAAACTTCATAAAAGCTCCTAAAACTCCCCTGGTCTTCCGTGGTTGGCTCATGCTATAGACGAAATCAGATGCGCCCTGGAACTATGTGTGTGTCATCATGTACGACGGCTGTGTGGCGGTGTATTTCTATGCAGAATTGTTGATTAGCGTGGCATTGCGATTAAACGGCATGTACTCCAAAGGATTGCCGGGTGTTCGCAAGTTTCACTTTCCGCCGCGCGCACTCTGTGGATGTGTAGGTGACAGTTCGCCGAGAGGATAGTCCATATCGGAGACTGTTGTTTGGCAAGATGACAAGGTCAAATGCCGCGCCCTGTCCTCAATGGCATCCTTCTCAAGATAAACCTTTGCCTCGGAAATTGTAAGCATCTAGTTGATCGCGATTGTATGGCCTGGATGGTCAGGATCAGAACAGTGGTCTCGTCCGGATATTCTAATTGTGTTCTTAAGCATTCGGTCTTGGTTCAGCTCATCCTTATAATAGCCTGTAATTGGTTTCCCTTTTTTGCCTTATATTGCTGCTCTAAAACCGATGCTGCTGCTTCCACTGTCCGTTCGGGAGAGGCGGAGTCGTGTGGCTGGCGGGGCTCAGCTGTGTGTCCCTAATATACCCGTTTCCGCACCCCACTATCGAGCTCGAGCGGATTCTGTCCGCTGGAATTTCCACCTCCAGTCTCACTCGCAATCCTGTCGACTATCACGCAGTCGTCCAATATCGTCTGATGTTTTCTATTAGCCGTGCTGTTTTTTTACTCGTGCTCGTGCCATTCTGCGACAGTCAATGTGAGCCTAGGTTTTTTTTCACTCTTTGAACCACCGTAGATCCGACATTGATGAACATTTCGAGGAGCTATTACTCTGGAAAATTTCGCACTTTTTTGCTTCCTAGTAATTACTGCGACGATTCGCAGAGGTACGTGGCCATCAGAAATGTATCGCTCCTTTCCTCTCGAATTGAGTGGAATTGCATTTAGGGGGCTGCAGCAGGCAGCTCGAAGCAGACACACGTGTGCCGCGCTCGATTTAACATTTAGGATTTCTTCGTTTCCTATGGAAATGTTTCTCGACGACTGTGGTAGCCAAACAAAAAAAAAGGGGGGGGGGCAGTTCGGCGATGGGAGGGGGCATGGGGGGCATTTGCACTTTTGCTAGTTCCCTTCAATGTCTACCCATCTAGAGAGCCTTTTCCTGAGTTGACAGGTTTTACCATGGTGGCTCGACGAGCTTGCTCCAGCTTCACAAGAGTTCACAAGTTTCACCAGAGTGAGACTCGTAAACCATAAGCAGCGAAAGTGCAGAATGCCCCCCCCCCCCCATCACCGAACTGCACCTAAATTTGTTCATTCGCACACCATTGCACGTTCATATAGTAATTACGGCCCAGAGAAGGGTTCACATCGATTGCACTTCGTCGCAGATTATGACGCGTATAGCAGTCATCTAATGGGTGCAGCACAAGGGGATTTGCAGGTGCAGCCACCATTCGCAGTCATTATGAAATGAAAATTAATAGAAAAACTGTCCTTTCGGTTCAATCCACTCATTTCGATTGTTTTTGTCATCGGAAAAGTCTATTCATTTGCCGGATCAAAAACATTTAGTTGCTAGGGTTTCTTGAGAAAGTTCAGTGAGTGCAAAACACAGATCGCCCTCCACTACAGTACAGGGCTCAGTTCGGGGACCGGCGTGAGGCGAGATTTTCTGCTTTCCATCCCCGTCTGTTTGCAAATCTCATTCTAAAGGGCCCTGTGAACTCTTGTAAAGCTGGAACAAGTTCGTCGAGCACCGTACTAAACCTGTCAACTCTTGTAAGCTCATGAAATAGCTCTCTAGATGGCTCGACACGTCGATGGGAAGTAGCAAAAGTGCAAAATGCCCCCCCCCCCGTCGCCGATCTGCGCGAATGTTGTTTACTTCTTACATAGCCACTGTTTATTCTAACAAAGAAGTCGTTTATGAATATGAGAAATTTGCACGCGCACGAACGTCTTGACCAGAAGTCAGTTTGGCCCAAGGTTTTGGCGCAATACGGACCACTCTGCCCCCCCCCCCCCTATCCACCCAGCTTTTAATTGATTTCATCAGCAAAAACCAATAGCCTATCTGTAAATTTGGGTTGACGGCAATGTTATTGGTGCTTATTTAGGTACCGTTGGCAGCATAAAGGGATAATTTTAGTGAACCAGAAGAAGGGGCGACGCGGGGGGGGACATTTTGCCATTTGCTACTTCCCATCGGCGTTTCGATCTATCGATAGAGCCATTAGGTGGGCCTACAAGAGCTGGCATGGTGGCTAGCCTTAGATTCACAAGAGTTCACAGTTTCACCAGGTTGAGACTTGTAAAGCGGAACTAGTGAGGAAGCGAAAGTGCAAGAGCACCTCCCTCCCCCCCCCCTCGAAGCCGAACTGCGCCCCAAATGGATAATAAAAAAATTTCTTATGGGGGTTCTATTACGATTAGTCACGTGCTGCACATGGTGCAACTTCGGGTCCATAACGGGTTGAATGAATTTTATTTTGAATTTCATCAGCCTCAGCAGGTCCCAAACTTTTTATCTCTTTCAGTGGATCCGAGCACACCATCTTTCATTGAAAACGAAATTGGCGACGACTTTTTCAATGTCACTTTTACTCCGTCGAAGTTTGACGACGAAGTGAGTCATTTTGGAAAACTTACACTATATTATGACCCACCCGTCCTAAATGTGGCCCTATTCCAGGAACGACGTCCAGTTGGAAACACGTTCCTCGTAGAATATCGAGAAGCCGACACTGATGAGTGGAAGCAGGTTCCGCAAAAAGGTTTGCTACATCATATTGTTATTCGTAGCTCTATGTAAATAATTACCTGTACCACCACCGCCACTGGTTGCTTGGCAACTGCCGATTATTGTGAAATTGGAGGTACCTGCCTATTTGTTGTTACCATTACTAATTGCAGGGGATGATTTGACTGTCACCGTTGGTGATCTGAATCCTGGAACAAGGTATGAAGTACGTGTTGCCGCTCTTCAGAAGGATCCAAGTGGAACAGAACGGGAGACGTACTCTCCTTCGAGTTATATAACAACTACTGGACGATGTGAGTACCACATAAATTCCCAATGTTGATATGTAATGGTTCTGTATTGCTCTCTTCAATGCCCTCTTTTCCAGCACCAAAAACCGCCCGGTTATGGTGGGTGTTGTTGATCCTGCTGATTCTGTTGTTATTGCTGTGCATCCTGTGTATGATTTGTGTCGCGCTGCGACATCGCGGACAGAATTATCCAGTCTCTCAAAAGGAGCGTGAACAAGGCCGCGAACCGATCCTCGCTAAACAACACTTTGGCGAGTACAAGAAGTACGTTTGCAGTCTGTTCTTTGAGCTTTCAGGTCCCTCATTCGTTTGTCTAGCCAAAATTCATAGATCAGTGGGTTCTTCGTTCTCCTTCCTATTCGCAATTGACACTTCCTCAAGGACAGTTGTCACACTCTTTCGTGTGCAGTTTACATCGGGGATCTCCCGTGTTGTCTTAGTGGCTTCTAAAAAAGCCCTGAAAAACGGATGTTATTGAATTGGACCACCTATTGTTTAGTGATGATGATGAGAAGCGATCATTAACTGGCAGTAAAGCGGAATCTGAGACTGACAGCATGGCCGAATACGGCGATACCGATCCCGGTCGATTCACAGAGGATGGCAGCTTTATTGGTAATTATTTACTCATTCATCTCTTTACTTGTTCAAAGACAGGGTGGGGCTAATGACTTGACGTCAGAGCTGTATGAAAAATAACAGTGAACAATGGGATTGCATTCAGGGCACATCATCTTTGCCCATCCCCTAACAGGGGTTCGTATTGGCTCCACCCCCCCTCCCCGCCAGCAAAAGTTTGCGGAAAAATTGGAAGTTTTCCAGAAAAACTGTAAAAAGTTGTAGGAAATGGGGAAAGTCAAAGAAAGCGGTAGGTATGATAGTGAAGGAGGTGAGCATTTCCCTCGCGATTTTCAGGTTTCGTGCTGTGTACCCCCCTCCCCCTGCTCGACAGCTCGAGCGTATCAGAGGAGGGAACTAGGGCGTTGGGATGGATCGTACGGACTCGACCATGCTACCGGCTAATGATGTGCCTTGATTGCATTTCACGAAATGTATGCCAACTGACCAGGGTTGTGGCGAAAGACTCTTAATTGTCAAGTGAACAAGTTATTTACGTGGATCTATCCCGACCTGGTTACTGCAGCAATCTTGTGGTAGCAGGTTCAGCCACGAATGCTGTGGGGGTGTTCTTATGGCAGCGGAAAACTGCTTTTATGTCCTACCTCGGGGTCCTTGGAAACTGTAGGAGGGATCTAACTATAAGGTTGAAGCCTCAGGCTAAACTCTTTGAACGTCTTCCTCAATATTATTGAGAATCTTTGATTTTCTCGATTTCTGGAGTATGTCAGGTTGTCTCGAAGTTCTTGCACTGATTTTCACACTCTTTCAAAAATCTATAACTTTATTGTTCATAGATATTGATTAGAAAATGCTGATCATGATGATCCACTGCTTATATCCGCCGCCTAATTAGATTATCAAATTGAGAACTCCGGAACTCTCCCTGTCGAGTCGAAGTCACTTTTTAGCTCATTCTTGTCATCGATAGGTCTCCGGTAAATGCAGCTGCAGTGCCCGAAACAAGTCATAATCAGGCTAGGCCAAGGCAGGAGAATGAGGATGTGCTAGAACTTCCCAACTAACCTGCAATTTTCCAGCGATTAAATTCGTCACCTGCTCGAACATTGATGTGATGCACAGGAACGTGACTATTTTTCCGCATCAGGCGAGCTACGCCTTCCAGTTCTCGTAGTTCTGAAAAACCGGCTTCTACGATGCTTCCATGCAGCACTACGTGCTACATCGCTCTCTTAGAATACCATCAACAGCATATCTGTCTTCTCCTACGGTCTCCTTTCGGGTCTATCGGAGTCGATTCACCTGAGACATTGTGGGAGGCATCTGTTCTGCTGTGCATGGTTAAAATACAACATCTTACTCCTAGGTCTTGTAAAAAAGTTGACGAAGAGTCTCGTTCAGTGCCGAGTCTGTAGGCTCAGTTTGACACGACGCCAGCCCGTTTTTCAGCAATGCTCTCCCTTGCACGCTTCAATAATTGGTGGAAAGCGGGCTGGCGTGGCGCCATGCCGACCATCCCTCCTCCACCCCCCCCCACTCCCGTGTCAAGCCCTAATATCCGTAGCGATTAAAACTGTATCTATATGTTGCAAAAGTAAAGCTATTTCACACTTACTCCTGTTGCCAGCTGGACTTAGATAAGGAGAAATGATAAGCCAAGTCTTGCACACAAGTGGATCATGATGATAATGATAATCAGTGCAGTATTATGTTGATCAATATTTATCAAGAATGGAGTTGCTAATTATTCAAAAGTTCTTAAGGAGTAGGTTCCTAGGGAGTACGTGACAAGGCAATCGTAAGGTACCGCGCTTCTGGTCGTGAGGAGCGACGTCGTGCGTGACAGACATGTTGCCCAGCCTGGCCGTTTGAATTTTCTTACAAAGAGAAATGACGAGGAAATCAGATCTCGCTCGAGTTCTGTCGTAGCTGAAATTTTCTTGAGTTTTGCCGCTCAGTCGCCAAGCTGATGCACTCGAAAAACTCGCCGCGCATAGCCGCACGTTACGATACGCGGTGACGGGACAAATGCGATTGTCTTGTCTGTCCGTCTTCCGATACAACCTGACGTTATAATGCTGCTATATCTCAAAACAATTTTGGTTCTGTCACTCAGTATTATTATTCAACTATTGCTACCCTGAAAACTCAAAAAAATTTTTGGTGAAACTTTGCCCATAAGGGTAATTCGATATCCTGGTCACGAGTATAACATTTGTTTTCGACGCTGGCGCCATTTGGCGCCAACAGGCGTCAAACTGGTACCACCACTTTTTTTCACCAAAATCGGTGCAAACTTGCATAGTGAGGTTATTCGGTACCTACGACATCGTTTTCAGCCCAGGCGCCCTTTGGCGTCATTAGGCGCCAATTTGGTGCCACACCGTCTTTTATCAAAATCGATAAAAACCTGCATACTACGGTTTTGATGCCCTGATCACTAATACGACATTTATTTTTCGATACCAGTGCTATTCGCTCCTCTAAGGCTGAGCCTTGCTAGAAGGAGCGACGGCCAGGCTCAGCTTTAGTAGAGCTCAGATGACTAAAGTGTCCTCCGTCTGCTCCAGTGCCGAAAATGAATGTAATATTTGGAGGTCAAACCACCACTGGAGACAGGTTTTCATCGAATTCGGTGATTTAGAGTTTGCGGCGCCGGCGCCTGTGGCGCGGGCGCCGTGCAGTTTCAGGTCTAGCGGTTGTGATGTTCGTTCAGGAGGTGGAACTTCCCCTGGAACCGAATTTCCAGCCGAATCTGCCCCTCAGAAAAAGTCGGTCAAAATCTGGCCTGTTTTCGGGAAATTGGGGTAGTAATAGTCGAATAGTACCCAATTTTTAGTTTAGAATCGGACAAATTTTTTTCAGTGGGTGTTAGTAGTGCGCTCTTGGGTGAGAAACTTATCCTTTTTTTGCAGGCCAGTACGTTCCGGCTAAGACGCTGATGCCGCCGGAGAGAACGGAGAAGGGAAGCACGTCGACGTTTGTCTGAGCGACGACAACTCCTCGTTCATCGTCTCCACATCATCAGTGTTCCGGTGATTGCGATGCCCGTTGACATCGCAAATGTCGTCGTTTCATGCGCACGTGGCTCTTCTGGTCCGTGATCAGAAACACACATTCCTTTCGTGCGATTGCTTGGTGTGTTCGCATCTGTGCGTTGCAATGTGCTCGGGTAGGGAGTTCTTGTCGAGATCTTCATCGTCGTCGTCGTCTTTCATGAAAAGAGGGACGTTCTGTTCTTGTTTGATCTCCGTCCTAAACGACTGAACGGCTTGACAGATTGATTGACTTGACCCCTCGCATATAGTTGTTGTTATTCTATTCCTTTATATTTTCGTATATTTTTTCGGTAATATTTGACTAACATACTCACACATACACAAATGCTGCTGATCAAGTCATTGTGTCTCGATTATCGACATGCCTTTATTCGTCTCTCTCCGATTAACTCTTTCCCGTATGAATCGATTTTTATTGAAGTCTTCTCACCAGTGTGTTACTTGCTAGTTTTCCACTGACGTGGAGAGGGAAGGAAGTGGCGATGGTTCTTTTTTTAATCTCAGTCAGAAGCACAGTAGTCATATTAAAAAGGCTCGGTGTTGTAGTTTTTAACTGCCGCATACAGTCAGGTTCTCGTTTATAGTCCGCGTAGCCACCGCCACCTTTCTTCAGTCTTGCACGTTCACTTCTGCTCAGTTGGTGTTCAGAGTAAGAAACACCTTGCCTCCCTTCTCCATCATCAGTAGGCTAGCAGCTGTTTTAGGTAAGCCCCTGGGGCCCAGTTTAGTCCCATTGCTGGACTAGCCGTCTTTCCGCGCGCAGCCTCTCCGATCAAACTCTGCCACACACATACACACTTGTTCTACATCATCTAATGATTTCTGCTAGGCATTAAACAACTTATTAATTTGAGCTTCCGTTCATGTTGCTGTTTAGCTGATCCCTTGTATTGTTGCATAAAATGGCATTATGAAGATTATTTCGTTTAGTTGTTGTGTTTTTTTTCAGATTAATTCTACATCGTTCACGTTGCTTTTGTTGTGTAGTGCCATATTTTTCCAAAAAATAGGCTAACTTAGAACATGGCTCGAGCAGTTCTGGAAATGGTGAAGGTATCACCTCATCGCCAAAACGGCGCTGAATTCCACCAATACCAAACCTTCGAAGCTTCGAAGGCACAAGACATGATGATCTGGTACTCGGTCTAAACTGGTAGCAAGGGGTATTATACAGTGGGGAAAATGGCGATTAAGCGATATGAAACGGTCAGAAACCCGCACAAAAAGCATTTGTTCCACACTATTCGGGAAGCATTTTCGGAGAGTTCCCAATGGCATCACGCCCATAACCGCTACGGTAGATATACTTCAATTTGCTGCGGACGGTTGGGCGTGTCAGGCAGTATGAGCATGTCACGCCGTCAAAGCCGTTCTCTGCCTC